GGTGCTTGTCTAAAAGGTGGAGGGTGTAGCCTCAGCCCTTTAAGTATGCTCCACTGCAGTCACTCCAGCGTCGTCCCCAACTCATCACAGTCCATCAGGCTGCTCTAACCCAATACTACAGACTGGGTGGCGCACAAACCACGGAAATGTATTTCTCACAGTTCTGGAGGCTAAAGTTTGAGGTGAGGGAGCCAACATTCTGGGGTGAAGGCCCTTTTCTGGGTAGCAGATTTCTCTTTGTGTCCTCAGGTAAGGGAGTGTTCCAGGCACTCTTCCATTCATTAGCTCTGGCCTCATGACCTCATCACCTCCCAAAAGCCCCACCTCCTAATACAATCACATTGGGTGACAGGGTTCAACATGTGGACTTCGGGGGATCAATTCAGACTATAGTACCAACCTTTCTTGGCCAGCTCAGGGAAAGTGCTACAGAACCTGAGGCTTTGAAACCAGGACCCAAAGGGCAAGTGGAGGTGATCAAGGGAAGAGATGGCACACCGAGCTGGTAAAGACAGGGAGAGGATCTGATGTCTGGTCTATTGAATCACTCTGAAGGCTGTGAAAGTTTCCCCAAGTGTCACATGATGTACTAGATAGAAAAGAAGTGTCCCAGTTCCCACGCCAGACACACTAAATCAGCCTATTTCTTTTGACCAGTTCCAGGTGTTGGGATACATGCCCAAGGTTACTCCCCACTGCTGTTCCGGGGTCCCTGGAGCACAGGTCCCTTTGTGTTACCCCAGAGCCAGCCTGTGGAGGGGAGGGGAGTTCGTGGAATCTAAGAAAGTGAATGAAAGCTCATTACCCTACTCTGTTAACTACATGGGCACATCTCTTTTTCACATTTTGACGTCTGAAATTGGGGTTCACTTCTATTCCAAGGCAAGTAATTTAATCCACAGTAGTTTATTCCTTTTTAGGATGAAACAAATAATGGTATGGCATGTTTTTTAGGTTTTCAAAATATACTAGTCGTCGTCTCCCTTTTCCCCAAGTCTTTCCTCCCTTGCTTAGCACAGGACACCCTCACAATCAGAATTGAACTCTTCTCCCTCTTAGAAGAGCCCCGGGGGGCCTACTGTCTGCCCTGCAGAATATTCGATGCCATGCTCATTTGTATTGTGTGACCATTGCCACCTGCCACAATTTCTCTCCCCCTGACATCTTTAAATGTGTTCTTGTGGCTCCTGCTTCATTTATGCTCTTAGTCATGATTCTAACACAAAAGGGAAAAAGCATTCCTGGGGTGTATTTCTTCAGTCGAGATATCTTTACAGATAAAACCTGAGTAACCAGGAATGAGGGTTCAGAGCCTTTCCCTGCAGCTGATGAGGACAGTTATAATTAGAAAGACTGAGTGCTCAGCACCCAAGCCTGCTATCCAAACCACCCTGAGTCCTGTCCCAGTCCATGTGGTGGACATAGGATTTTCGAAACTGCAGGGGTCCACGTCAGGGAAGAAGACACCTCCACAAGACCTTCTCAGGGGCTCCCCAGTGCGGGTGTGAGACTGAGCTGCAACATCCATCTACACACCACCTGGATCCAGCCCCCAGCCACCCTGGGGATTTCTCCTGAAGACTGTCGGAACCCTCCAAGTAAACAGCCCAGAGTTCATAACCTCTGCCTCTGCAGAAGGGAGCCATTTCCACAAGAAAGCAGACAGTTGTCAACCATGTCTGTTGTTCCCAGAACCCAGGAACTGGGCATCTAGATGTGCCTGTTGTTCATGTCTCTGCATTTCCCTGTTGAGTACCAAGGGCAATGATATGGCAACATCATTTCCCTTATGGGAAGATGCATCTCCTGGGAACGTGAGGGTTTGTGTCTGACAGATCCTAAGATTGGACTGCAGAGGTAGCACCTGGCAGTTGGTCATCATAGGTTTGTAACTCCTCCCTCGTTGGATTAAGACTATTGACAACCTTCCCCTTACTGTGGGGCAGCATTTTTAGTCTTTGGTGAGAAAAAATCTTCAGGGCTGCCTGTGAGATTCCCATCAAAAGTCTTCCACAGAGGCCTGGAAGGCACATGTATGGCTCAGTATTACCAACTGGTGACCATTCAGCAGCAGAAGCTGCTGGTCAGTAACTATTGTCCCATTTATTAGTAGAACGACATCAATTTTATCAATATTGCCCAGTTGAAAAGACCACATTCCCAGTCTCCCCTGCATCTATTTTGACCATGTGACTGAGTTCTAGCAAATGGAATATAAGCAGAAAAGCCTATGGCTTTTTGGAAGTTTCTTTAAAGGAAGTTAACACACCTGGGAGGAAAATTCTTCCTCCTGTGAGTTAGATGGAGAATGTCCACAATGGCTTGCACTCCAGCAGCCATCTGGACTGTGAGGTTACCTTGAAGATAGAAGCCCCATGTGAGCATGCTGGAGTAGAGAAATACAAGAAGTTTGGCTCCCTAATTGCTGAGAAGCTGACATACATAACTATCGCTGGACAACTTTGAAGTGAGACAGAAATCCGCTTTCATGTCATGTAAACCACTATCATTTCTAATTTTATGACATAAGCAGCTGATCCTAACAAATGCACTTAGTAATGTATGTTGTTACCTTTGCATTCCCTAAGGATGATCATTCTGTCACCTTCATGGGGTGTGGGTATAAAAATAGATTTGAAACCTTGCTCTGCAGCAAACTGTGTGCTATAAGCAATTATCTTTATACCCATTTGACTTGTGAAATGATGTACATTAAGTTAAAAGTCTGTAGTTACCAGGGTACACAGTAGGGACCCACTAATGTTAGTTTCCTTGTCTTCCCCTCATTCCAAAGATGTGTGTTTTATTTTGAACGCCCAAAAGGAAAGCTAGGTAAATGCACATTTGTGTTTATTTCTGCATAAGCAGAGCCTACTATCATAACCTTAGAACTCCACGGGAGGGATTAGGCTAGGTAGACACTCCCAGTTAATGCAGCAGGAAGCTCAGAACAGAAGGAGGTAGCCAGAGAAGAAATAGCAAATGGAGCCTCTGTGTTATCAGCCCAAACTAGCTCAAATAAGAGCTGTGTTCTCCCCAGCTGAAACTCAAGCAACCAGTGGGACTGGGCTGGGTGGGCTAGAGCACACAGCTTTCCATGGAGTTGTCCCCAAAATGCTGAGCAGTGGGGGTGACCGTGAGCAGCCTGTGAAATACTAGCTGACCACTGGCAGAAAGATGGGTGTAGGGTAGAAACAGAAAGACTGACTTAGCTTGTGAGACATAAATATCTCTGATCCTAAGTACATTTAAAAGGACCAGAAGCAGCCAAATTGTGAGATAAGTAGTCTATGCAGACACAGTAGATTAATGCCTGCGGCTGACTGCCAGGCTCATAAACACCACGGTGCCCTGTTCTAACGTAAGAAAAATATGTTGGGAGAATTCAATATTTTCAGTCTCTTGGCTGGTCCAAGCTATGGTGAGGGGGAGAGAAGCATGAGAAGTTGCTGGAAGGGGGAGTGGACCACCCTGGTGAAAGAAATAATGGCAAGGCTCCCTAACCTGGCAGTGACCCAACTCTCGGTCAAGCACAATTGTAGTTTTCAAATTATTTTACTCTTGGACCCTTCTGACAGGGCAAAGAACACACGGACTCCTAATTTTGCCAAAAAATAGTTATAGAGAGTTGGAAGAAACCAGTTAATTTAATCCAATCCCTCTTCTCTTATGAAGTGTTCCAGAGGAGGGCAGGTGGCCTCGGTCACAGATTATTAATGCAGAGCCAGGCCCAAAGCTGAGGCCCCAGACTTTCTGGCTGTGTGTTTCATCTTGGAGCATTAATTTAGTCAAGGGACTTCTTTTTCAGTTGTATTTTTTTATGTGTGGATTCAATTATCAAGCAACTGGGAATAGCTCTCACTTTTAAAACTGTATCTCAACATGATCTGAAATTTCAGACCAGGGGACCCTGGAACCCTCGAGTTTTGAGACCCACACACGTGGAGCCAAGGAACGATGTCAACAATCTGCAAAGTCAGAGCTTAAGTGGGAGAGAAGGACCAAGGTTTCAGAAACAACAAACTCAGAAACAGCAGCTTGTAAATTTACTGGGCTACTGGAAACAACAAGGTGAAAGCATGATGGGGTACCAACGCTGCACCTGCTTCCAGAATGGTGATACTCAAAACCAGGAGATGCAGCCTCAAAAGAAAACCATGGCCTGGATTTTAAAACCTACAGCTGGAGACAAGCATTTTCCCCATGAGGTGCAGGTTGAGATTGATTTCCCATGTTGAACACACACAGCATACCTGGGGAGGGGGGTTCTAGAAATTTGATTTTTATAGGTGACACCTGAACAACATGAGGATCAGGGGCAGAGACACCCAGTGCAGTTGAAAATCAGCTTATTCTTTTTGACTCATGAAATTAATAAATTAATAAATTTCCTCAAGAAATTAATAAATTCATTCTGTTGACCAGAAGTCATCACATTTTTAATGTTGGGTTGTATATACTGTATTCTTATAATAAAGCTAGAGAAAATGTTAAGAAAATCATTAAATTTATTTACATTTTTGTACTGTACTTAACCATATTTTAAGTTGATGTCACCCACGTGTAAGTGGGTGCAACTCAAACCCATATTGTTCCAGGGTCAACTGTATATTCGAGGTGTGAGGCCAATGGGGAAAACAGAAGCCAGGGAAGTCATGCTTGATGAAACCAAAATTCAAACCCAGTCTCCAAATTGACTCCAGGCTTCTTTCCACCATGTCAGCAATCCTTTGCAGGAGACAGTGGGGGTGGAGAGAGGATTAACACCCAGGTTGCTGGTAGTGGAGACCAAGGGTGCTGGAACTCCTCAGCTCACCTTCCTTGCAAACTGACACAACCTGAGCTCCTGCCGGTGCTATTGGTGAAGGAAACTCTATGGGGACTACACCTGGTGGAGGGGGGAGTGCGGGGAGGGGAGGGCACAAAGCAAATATTGTTTAAAAATGAACAATGATGTAAAAAATTTTTTAAAAAATTTTAAAAAAGGCCAACAGGGCACCTCTTGTACCCACAGCCAAAGACAAGAACATAAGTACTTTCATGCAAAATCTTTTATTTGGAACATGTGTCACCAAACAGGTCAGCCATCCCCCAAAAGTCTTTACATTGTGCAGAGAAATACAGAGTTCAGAGTTCCTTGAACATATGGGTGCTTCGCTGTTACTATTCTTCACCTGCCCTTACCCGCTTGCCATCAAGGCCAGGGGCTCTGACCCCAGCTGGTGATTGGCCACTACCAATGTGTCTTTTCCTGACATCCTCTCTACCTGCTTTATATATTAGTTTTGCCCCAAGAAAAGATGAGCAGCTATAAAGTTCCTGTGGGTTTACACAGCCTTGTCTTCACCAAATTTAGATGTGGTGTTTTGTTTTGTTTTTTGAGAAGCTTCTGCTTAGCTTTCCTCATGGGTCAGAGTATGAGACCTTGAATTTCAGCTGACCCAGGTGGAGAGTTCTCAGTGATTTTTTAATATTGGCTACTGCTTTCCTCCCTGGCCAAGACATAAGGTTTTCATTTCTAATTTCTGTCTCCCTCTTGCCTGTGACATTGGACACCACACATTTTGGTCCTGCTATGAGGTGAAATGGAGGTAGGAGGAAGAGGTGCTTCTCCCCTGGCTTAGCCGCAAGGCCCAGCAGCCCGGCCTCAACTCGGGAAACGAGATAATCTAACGGAGAGCACTTCCTCCTCACGCCCAATCAAGGCGTTGGGTTGGAAGGCCTGACAATCGGGGCTTGCCTTTGAATTCAAGTTTCAGTCACTGAGCAGAGGCCACAGAACAAGGCCCTCCCTGTCCTCGGTGGTAAACACAACTGTGACAGCAGCTCTCAGCAATCAGGAATCTGCAGGCGCTCTGCCCATCTCCCCACACTGCTGACAAACCCAAGGACAGTTTCAACGGGCAGTTTGCTACAACATATTGACCTTCTTTAGAGGCTTCAATCTGAGTTATATTCTTAACTGCTTTTTTCTTTTTCTTTTTTTTTTTTTTTTTTTTTGGTAACAAACATGCAGGCTCGGGACCTGCATTAAAAAAACCTGCATTTTTTTTTTTTTAATGTTACTTTATGATCTCCCTTCTTAGCTTGGTGGGCCCCAGCCTGGACCAACCCACAGCCCCGGAGAAGGACCTCCCACCAAGCAGACTCCTAAAGGTCACTTGGAATGCGTCCCTTAAATCCTGTCCTGAGCAACAATTCTCCTCCCACAAGCAGATGTACAGAATCTGCTGTTAAAAACAAAACAAAGAGAAAATGCAAAAGTTCCCCAGACCTACAAAAGCTTCAGTTTAAGAAACACACGCACACCCCTCACTCCATCCCCTAAGCCTCATTTTCCCTCACGGATGCATCTGGCAGAAAAACGCTAAAGTCACTGCTGACTAGAATTAAGAAAATCAGAAGTGTTTCTTTTAAGCTCAAACATTTATATAGAGAGAATTCTGCTGCACTGTTCACTTTCCAAGAGATACTAACCTGACACTGAATTGTGTATCATTTAATCATTTTAAACAACAACAAAAAATAGCCAAAGCACACAAACATAATCTTTGGGGGTCATAGATGAAATGGGTGAATCTTATTTTCCATCTTCCCTTCTGCTCAGTGCTGGGGAGCAGAGTTGCCACTTCGTCATTTGTCGTCAGCAGTCCTAAACCATACTGCTACAGAGAAAGCCATTTTGCTGCTGCAAAAAGCAGTCATGGACTAGTTTCAGATCATTTTAGTTTAAACACATGAACTTCCATTAACAACTACCCTTGGCCAAGGATCAAATGGCAGAGAAAAAGTTCTACTCAGAATTTTCATCTGAATCAAAACCTCCACCTACACTTCTAGTAAGGAAACCAGGATCTCAGAGATTAGATATATTTTTAAGGAACTTAAAAAAGAAATCCAAATAGTTTTAACAACATGGGAAAGAATTCTGAAAATGCAATCAGGGCTACTGCATTGTTAGGGAGTTAATACAAACTCTGGGAATTTGCAGAAACAAGGTTGAAAATGACAATACAGATAATTTTCAATCATCCAGAAATTTTCTCTAAAGAAAGGTAGAGTGCATTACTATCATTTTCCCCTTCTTTTGTAAATCAAGAAATATAAATATATTTCATATGTAATTCTTCATATAAATTTTAGTACAAATGGTAAAAGTTAGAATTTTTAATTTAATAAGCCCCAAATTACTAAGCACCAATAGTCATATTGACAAAAGTGATGACAAATGCAAAATGTGAAAACTTTTTTCCTGTCACAAATAATGAGAGTTGTGGATAAGAAATAGAAATACTGAAATAATCAGCATTAAATTTAAATCTGGGAAAGCTATTTTTGATTAGAGACTGTATTATTTACCTTAGAATATGTTATTGTTTCCCCCTCAAAGACTTATATACAGGCTTTAATCCAAAAATGAAGTTCAAACATATAAATATTGATAATTTCTGCTAAATTCAGAATAATTTCAGAAAGATATAATACAATGGTTTAGAATAAAACAAAACAGAACAACACAGTATTTTGGGATTTTTTTGGTAATATACATAAGGTACAACTTTTTCTCTTTAGAATCCCTCGCTCTTGAGGAACAAGCTAAAATTAATTCTGATTAATAAAACCTTTAGATGGTATCAACAAAATTTAAGAAGTCAAAACAGAGTTAATATATAGGTATATATGATTTGCATTTAAAGACAAAAGCATACCTCATAAAGACCTCCAGGTAGCCCCTTCATTTAGTTCTGCCAGATGACTTAAGTGATTCACTAACTATAACAGAATAATTGACCTCTTCCCCACTAAATCTTTGCTGGGAAAAACAGTTTCAGCCATTCCTAGCAGAGACTTGGCTCATCTCATTGTGTTGTGAAAACTAGAGTCTACTGTAACTTTTCACAAGAGCCAAAATTTAGAAAGAAGTGACTATGAGTAATAGGTGAGAATCAAGACTTCAGATAAGTACATTTGAAAAGGTTTTTCAGAATTACTTGGATTTTGTTTTGTTTATTACAGTCCAAATACATGACGTTCTTATGAAATAAAATCATATGGTACAGATAAAAACAGGCCATGAGAGCCCAGAGTTGGTGTAGGGCCAAATTGTGGACCACCCAATAGGTCACATTTTAGGAATTTGAAGCGCCTAAAAATAGATAAGCTGGTTTCTCAAAAGAGTGTGTGTGGGAGAGAGTTTGAGAGAGAGAGAGAGAGAGAGAGAGAGAGAGAAAGAAAAGAAAAGAAAAGGAAAGAGACAAGAAACTATTCAGGAAATGTAAGCTAACAAGACTACCTTACTTAGAAAGTGGGACAAATGCATTAAAAACACATAAACTTTGTGCAGGTCGATGCAATAGTAAACACAGAATATATAGGCCTCATAATTCTTTTGTAAATGGCATATACATAATGTCTCTAGCATTTTAAAAATATGCAGAGACTAATTAAGGATCACTCTAGATAAAAATACATATTTCTTTTAATGGGGAAGAAAGGGCAGATCCCCATAGACATAGAGAGGAAACTATGGTTTTTTGGTAATTCTAGTGGTATTGGCAGCAAAAATTGTCGTATGGATGTTATCTGGCTTTCAGAGGGTTATTTTCAAATATAACCTTACAGTTATATTTGTAAAAAAAACTTTATTAACCCTGTAGTATGACTATATTGACATCGTACTTGAAGATAAAAGTAGGAGAGTTGTGAATCAGTAAAGGGATATATATATAAAGCAAATGTGAACCCTCTTCAGATTCCTCACACAAAGGGGATACACTCTTAAATAAAATAATACTTCCTTAAAAATTTGCCACCTAACAATTGTTTACATCATAGAAAAATACTATTTTTGTAAAAAGAAATATACTTTGTTAAAATGGTCTATTTTAACCAGCAATTATTTCTCATATAAAGACTTTCTAAACATCCATACAGAAAATCAAAATAGGTAATACTGAGTGCAAAGCAGACAATGGCATGTTTGCAAACAAAGTATTTCATTGCCAGATAAATAAAATTCTCAGGTATTATAGTACAAGTTTTCAGCTTTTAGGAAAAAGACATTGCTTTTATTCTCTGATGGAAGATTACTTATAGGTAAATTTACTTCTGGCAGCAGAAGGTCAAATTGATTTGAACTGGATCATACATATTCATTCACATTTCCCCTAAACTCAAAAGTGCTGAAACACCAGGCAGTAGCTTACATCCTCAACTCCTTAACACCAGCACGGAGCGCAGGCCATGGAGATGCAAAGGGAATTGATGATATTTGCAGTCCTTTCAAAATCATTCACTGCATTGTCCATGTTTAAGTTTCTCATAGAACCAGGCTGACACAAACTATTTACCAGCTGGCTTAACCCCATCCTTTGGGACAGTCAGTATGACTCTTCTACATACAGGGTTGTTCCTCGTGCTATAAAACCAGATGGTGACCAGAGACTACTGCTTTATTTCCACAAAGGGACTCAAGGGATAACGAGATTCCTGGTGGCAGTGGCAAAGGGTGGAAGAGTACACTAAGAGCCAGCACTTTCTGCCTCACGCACAGGTAGGCCGGGCTGACAGACTCCGACATACTCCGTAAGCCAGTGAAGTGGTCCACGCTTTTCCAGCATCTCATCACACCCTCTCCACTCTGCTAGGGTCATAGGAATCTGTTTTTAAAAAGAGAGAAAGAAAAGAAAATTAGTGTAGTCACTGTTGTATTTCTCAGGCTATAAATAAATATGCTTAGGGAGCAAAATCACAAGTGTACCAAAATTAATTTTTAGACATTTCAACAATCTTGTTTTCACGAAGGAGTAAAAAACTATCATCAAAAGGCTGTTTTAAAGGGAAATGAATGATCGCTAAGTAATCACAGATGAAAAAATGTCAGTTGCTTCTAGTTTTGATGGTCCCTTCCTATTGTTCATGGTAGAATATAATTAATTTAAATGCACAGCGTGTAAACCAGCAGTCGCATGCTTAGCTGACACTGAGGATTTCTTTGTTCATTTTTCTTAATTTACAATCTAATGAAAGCTTACTTTAGAAATGCACCTTTGTGACCAAATGCTGTCCCTGTGGCTTGAGGACCCTGAAATCCTGGAGGCTGGGCTAGAGGTGAGACGACTCCTGTCTCTGACAACCACCAGCCAGCAGGCGGGGTCAGGTGGAAGGCCTGTTAACACAAGTCTTCCAAGTCTTTCCAGACACAGGTGTGAATTTGAAGAGGCTGAACGTCTGTTAATCTTCAAATTCATAGACAATGGGCACTGACCTGCTTACCAGGCACATGGAAACACCTCCACAGGATGTGCCTGTACCCCAAAGTGCCACTGTTGAAGCTCAGGGGCCAGATGCAGGGAGCTATGGAAAGAATTCCGTAGAATGGGCTCTGCATTGGAGGGTCCCTCATGGGAGGGTCTTGTCTAATAAAAATATATTGTGCTCCACAAAACATTTTACACTTTCTCTTAGCCATGTCAAAGCAAGTGAGAGGAAACAACATGTGAAATTAATTTTAATAATGGATTTTATTTCACCATTACACCCAAAATACTAGCATATCAAGAGGTAACGGATATAAAAATGATTGCATTTAGAGTTTTTTGTACTAAGTCTTTGAACTCTGGTATATATTTGCATTTACAGGACATCTCAATTTGGATGAGCCACATGTGACAATGGGCTACTATAATGGCCTACCCAGTTCTAGTAGACAGAGGGGTTATCCTGAGTACTTAGAATCCTGGTTCTTGTGAGGAATATTTCAAGTGAGGACAACTCACTGAGACCCACCCTGGTGGGTATCTCATGTAGTAACACTCTTAAAAGACATTGCCCCTGAGATGTGCTCATGCCCAGTCTTCTAATGGCATTATCAAACCTTCCCAGGCCCCCCCACTTGGGGTCATGATCAAATACTCTTTCTTCCTCCTCCTCCTATGCTCATATTGAGAAAATATCAAACAGGTTGGTGGGACCAGAAAGTTCCAAAGACTCTCAGAGCCTGGAAATGTACTTCTGAATTGGATCTTAATCCAGTGGAGATGGGACTGTCACCTGAATTAGTTTTGAGCTGCGGATTTCTTAAAACCCACATGAAAATATTGCTGAAATGACCATCTTTCATGTGAAATAAAGACACTTTGTGGAGTGTGAAGAGACGGCAAGGGCGACCCCCCCCAGACCAACCAAGCCAGGCATGCTGGGTGCCCGTGTCCAGTGCCTACGTCCGACCGCCATCACCAGCAAGAGAAAGGTTGAAGGGGAGGCTAACGGAGACAAAACCAAGGTGAAGGACCAACCGCAGAGACGATCTGCAAGGTTATCTGCCAAACCTGTTCCTCCATAGCCAGGACCCAAACCTAAAAAGGGTCCTGCAAAGAAGGGAGAGAAGGGACCCAAAGAGGGGAAAAAAAAAAAAGGATAAAGCTGATGCTGGCAAGGGTGGTAACAACCCTGAAGAAAACAGAGATGCCTAAAGACTTGACACAGAAAGCTGAGGCCATGGGGATGCCAAGTGAAGTGAGTGCACTTTTGATAACTGTGTACTTCTGGTGACTATCCAGTTTGAAATACAATTTTTTCAAGTTTATAAAAATGTAGATTTTTTTCCCCCTTTTTTAAAAGCTATGTTGTTAGCAGACAGAACATTTCATTGTTGTTTTTTGGGAAAGAGCATATGTAAGTAATAAAATATCTGGATTGATGTGGGAGAGAAAACCTTTCCCTTTGAGTTTTGAGAGACCTCCTCTTGGTTCCCAGGAGGAGGGATTCCTTGATGTTGACACACATGAGCCACCTTGACACAGACACCATACAGGGAAAAACTAAAATTCGTTTTTATGTCCTCTTGTCCCTCTCTGCCTTCTGCATAGACCTGACTCCCTTAAACCCAGGGGACCTGTTGAGACCTGACTACAAAAACATGGTTATCAGAATGTCAGGCAATCTGGACTTTCCAGTGTCACCATTGAGATGGCAGCCCTCAAAAGAACAGTAGTTCCTCTTTTAGATTGTTGAGCTTCAGATTGATGTCTGCCATTTTCATTTTGTTATATGGAAGTCAGAGTCGGCTGGTAAAAAGTTGTTAAATAACATGCTAAGTATGAAATGTTAACCCTCACTCTAAACTTTCCCTGTTCAGAGCATTAAATGAAGACTTCATTGGGTTTGACAATGGCTTTCTGATTTTGGTGCCAAGTCCATTGAAGAGGGGAGCTTGAAAGTTGCTGCATACTGCCAATGATTGTCTGCCCACATCTTGCCTGAAATACCAAGATTGCTTATGAAAAGTATCTTTAATAAAGCTGAATATAGTTTGGCTTGGGGTGAAAAAAGACACTTTATGGTATGATAGGTACTACAATACAGATAAGAAAGTTCTAGAAGGGTATGTGTATATGGTTAAGGGTAAGGAGAAAGCGTTTATAGATCTTCATGATACAATGTTGCTTTAAAATTCCAAGACAAAATCAGAATTTAAGTGGGCTGTGAATTCCAGAGCAATGAAGAGTTTCCAGCACATTGGAATGACAGGAACAGGGGTGGGGTGGTGATGGAGGTGAGGATGTCTTGTGTTGAAAGCGATTTTTTTTAAGTATATTAAAGTATTTAAAGTATATTAAAGATTTAAAGTATATTAAAAGGAAAACAAAGTTCAAAAGTTAATAGCAACGAAACTAGAATTTATTTTAATTCATGAAGCAACAGTGAATGGAAAAGGTACTATGCAAAAGTTTTACTACCTAAATCATATGACATATATTCCTCTCAAAATGACAGGCTTTGAATATTGAGAACGGATGAGCATCACATGAAAGGCTGATGGAGGGTGGGCTGAGAAGCTGTGTGTGCAAGAAATCATCCCCAATAGTGCCCTAAACAGCTGAAGTAGCTGTCTACACACTCACTTCTGATTTTTGCCCATTTTATTGCACATTAACAGACACACGAGGCAGAAAGGAGAACAAACAGAAGATCTACTTATAAGTAGCAATAGTTAAAAAACAATGTCATGTGAAAGGCATTTGTAATGGTTGGCTAAACTTAAAATTAGTATTATCTAGGTGTTTCTAAACACCTATCCAATCCTACTCAAAGACCAAGTGGTCAAGCTAAAAACTGAGTGCTTTACTGAACTAGCATTTTTAAGCTATAAAATACAACCTGAAATATGTAGCCATGGATGGAGACATAGAAATCTTCACAAACTGCTATTTTATTACAACAGGATTTGTCTTATTTTAAAACCCTTATAATTCTCAAGAAGAGGTAGGACTGATAAAATCCTGCTGGTTTATAGATAAGGACAGTCACTTTTTTTTTTTTTTTTTTTTTTTTACGTAGCACTTAAAAGTGAGGGAGCATTTTTGAGTTGAGTGCGGGAAAGAGGAATCACAATGAAGCCTAATAAAATACAACAGCTTTAAAAATGGGTTATAATACTTTTCCGACCATAATAGTAAAGGCTTCACATTTTCAGAATTCTCTCCTTCGGCAAAAAACAAATTTGTCAAATCAGAGCTTCTGAGAGGATCCTGACAAATGGTTAACTTCTGTATTGCATTTTGCATAAGAACAGAGTGCCACTCTCTAAGAAACATACAGCGTTTGTGGGAAATTTTTAGTTGCCAAGTAGATTATTTTAACAAAACTTTTTGGATTCTTCTAGCTGAAATGGGTGCACCCTGTTGGAGTAGGATGGTCCAAGGGCAGAGTCTGGCTCCCCTGGTGGGGCTGGCATCTATATGCCAGCAGCCCTGGGACACTCACCTCAAGGGGGCGCCATTTCCTCTCACTGTAGAAAGGTCCAGACTGAATGATTTAGGGTGCCTTCTATCAGTGGTTTATGATGTGGACCTTTTGAGATCTCTCAAATTTCTAGAATAACTGACACTCCCCAGCCTCTGAAAGAGTCGCCCTGTCCTGTCTGTATCAAGAGATGAGAAGGTGAAATTGCATTTGGGGAAAATCACTATTAATGTTATTGGAGCCGCCTTGTGGGTTCATAAATCGAGAAGGCTCTGAAATTATGTTAGGGTGAGAAGATTGAGAGGACCCAGAAGCCTGCAGGATGCTATCATCACACTATCTTCCCCCAAGACCGAGCAATCAGAACTCAGGGACCTTAAGAAACAGAATTGTATTCTACTGCTAGGGATCTAACCAAAGGACACAAAAACATAGATTCAAAAGAACACCTGTACCCCTATTTTTATAGCAGCACTATTTACAATAGCTAAGCTATGGAAACAACCCAAATGCCCAAAAACAGATGACTGGATCAAGAAGACGTGGTATATATATACACACAATGTAATATTACTCACCAATCGAGAAAGATAAACTCATGCCATTCGCAGCAACGTGGATGGAACTAAAAGGAATTATGCTCAGTGAAATAAGCCAGAAGGGAAAAGAAAAATATCGGATGGTTTCACTTATAGTAGGAATAGAGGGGAACCAAATAAGACATCAGTGTAAAAAAAATAATAACAATACAAAACACAACAAAGCAAAAAAGAACAATTAAAAATCAGAGACATCCTGCAGGGGAGGAGGAGGGAGAGGGATCAGAGGGAAGGAGGGAGAGCACAGGGGACTGTGGTGATGGTGCACAGGTGCACTGGTGAAGGAAACTCTATGGGGACTACACCTGAGGGGGTGGGGGGAAGCAAATATTGTTTAAAAATGAACAATGATGTAAAAAATTAAAAATATATAAAAAAATAAAATATAGCACACTGAAAAAAATTATTCAACAAAACTAAAAAAAAAGAGAATTGTAGGTAAACTTTGTAGGGTTAAGGTGGTGATGAAGTAAATGCTGTCTAAATCTTTTAAAGTTTCAGAAATGGCGTAGGAGTAAAAACCATGAATATGTGGTAGGGGCGGCTGCAAAGGACTTTGGAAGATGAAAATATAAGAAATGGTATAATGGGATAGGTAGTTTGATCAACTGGGTGTGTCTTTTCTTATTAAGTTAATAAAGTGCAGTGAGGGTGACTTAGAGGGAACGCCTATTATTTTAGGGAGAGAGTAAAGGATAAATGCTGTGGTCTCCTACAGAGTCTACCAATGTGCCTGCACCAAAGATGGAATAAGTTAGATTGATTTACCTCTTCACAATAAGGGGTCCCAGAAGTTGTTTATATAACTTTATATAGTTGTTTATATAGATAATTTCCATAAAGATAAAATCCTTTTAGATAAAATCTTTTAAAATACACTACAGGATCTCAATTGTTAAGGACAGGTTAGGAAAAATTCTTTGTAACCAAAAGAATCATTTGGTATGGCCTCCCCGTGGCACAGTGGTTGAGCGCTGGGTTGTGAAGCTGCCTGCGGCCTCTACAGCGCCGGTTCGATCCCCGGCTGTTCCCCGGCCGCTCCCCGGCCACCGGAGGAGGATCCCACATGGCGCGCAGACCTCTCCTGCCACCCGCTGCTCCCCTCAGCAGTGTACTTCGGTCCTTCTGCCTGCTCTGCTCCCCTCTCTGGCTCTGGTGAATTCTCTCACCCTCCTGCGCTTCTGACTGTACCAAGTGCTTGTATAAACAAACAAACAAACAAACAAATAAATAAATAAATCTTTAAAAAAAAAAAAAAGAATCATTTGGTAAGGTAATCCACAGGGTCAACTGTATCTTTTCTGAATGTGAAATTTCCACTGTCTACTAACCTTGTATTTCTTTTTTCTTTTCTGTGAGGGAAATAGGTTGGGTTACCGGGTGCTGAAAACTACAAGAGCATAAATGCAAGCATGCAGCCAAGAAGTCATTTCAAGGAGGATGAGAGGGTCAGAGCTGCACAAATGTGAACGGGCAGGCACAGCGAGGGCCATGCTTAAGACGCTCTTGGCTACACCAGGGAAGCAGCGAATTCTGTCCCTGCCTTCCTGATATCCTCAAGTGACTAGTCCAAAATCATACCGCTAATGGGTAAGACTGTCATGTGGAACAATGCATATGATAAAAGATGTTGATATCTTGGAGACCTGAAACTTTTGTGGATTTTTGGAAATAACTTTTGTCTATTACATGTCCTATAAATATCTTCTCTGAGTTCGTAACTTGTTTTTACCTTGTTTGGTATTTTCTTCCAACTTTTAAACTTTAGATTTTAGAAAATCTGAAACATAAACAAAACCAAAAAGGAGAGTAAAATATAAAAGAAAATAAAGGTGCAAACTTGATAGAGTATAAGAAGTATGTAAAATTGATGAAGTACAGTAAAAATTCTTAGGTCTCAATATGAATTTAAATTACCATGATAGCTTATATTATCATGCATTTTCTTTAGTAAGCTTTTTTGGTTTTTTCATAGAAAATGCCTACAAATAACCACAAATCCAATAGCTATGACTTTCTCGAGCACAGAGATTGTGCTTTGTTTGTACAAACAACTCTTGTACAGGCCAGGTTTAGTGGTGATAAAAAGCAACTGGGAGCTTTGTACGCTCTAAGGATGCCAAATTAACCCCCAACATCTGCCCACTTTACTGGACTCCTCACCTGGGCACCAGAAATCCTGCTCAGCATTCTTCTTCTCCCTCTGTGCTCCTAGATGTCCATTTTCTTCCAGTGAGAGGGTGCCCTTGGAGAGAGGGGGCGAGTGCCCCACCTTCCATGTGAGGCCCCCAGGACTCAGAGACACCAGGCCTGCGGGCTGTGCCCCAGGACTCCTCTCAGCCTTCATTTCCTCCGGCTCCTCTGTGGAGTCCGCGCTCCAGGAGCTCAGGAGCCTCATCCGGGACACAGAATTAATCTCTTTCATCCTCATCAAACGGTCAGGGGCCGCTCTCCTGGGGGGGGATGCCAGTTTCTCTTGTAAACTTTCAATCACTTTGGAAGTGCCCCTGAGCCTCTTTTCTGAGCCTGTCATGCTTGGGGTCCTCTCTATAAAATGGAACAAAGTAGACCTGAACGGTGGTCTTGTTCCTGCATCTTCGTGATTAAAGGACTGAGGCTCTTGGAGTTGGGGCTGAGACTCGAGGTCCGGCACCTTACTGGGGACGGCCCCATCCACATCTGGGTGCTTAGATACCTGGGGAGCCCGTCTCGCACTGTCCCTTTCCCCAACAAAGAGAGGGCTTTCAGTCCAGCCACACTTTCTTCTTCCATAAAAGGCATCAGTGGACACCATGGGATCATCCAACTGGACTGGAGTGGACACTAACTCCTCCCTGGGAGACTCCAGCCTGCCAGCACTTTCTTCAGGTTCAGAATACATATTCTGTCCCACCTTCCTGGTGCCAGGCATCAGGGACTCCACGGCCACCTCGATGCCCAGGATCCTCGCAGCCCTTGCTTGAAGGGATTCGTTTGGTGGGATTTCCAGTGCACTCGCCCCATTGAGAGGCCCGTCTAACCTACTGGCACTCTGTTCTTCTGCTGGGGTCAGTCCCACAGACCTCAAATCTGGTGCTGAAAGTCCGCGGGGTTTGTCAGCCAGAGAGAGGGGGACCACCGCCATTGCGGCCCTCGCCTCCCCACTATCAGCTTCCAGAGGGATGGCTTTGCTCAGCTCTGCAGAATTTAACATTCTGGGAGCTTTCTGCCTCTCCTGCGATTCCCTCAGTTCAGAGGGATCGAATGGGGGAACTGGTCTGGTGTCACTTAATCTAGAAGAGGTCATTCTTTTCACAGGACCTGGGCTGACTGCTAGTTGGTTTATTCTCTTCTCGATCTCCTTTTCCTTTTCTGTAATCAAGTTTCCGACTGCTGACAGCATTGATTCACCTCTGCTGCTTTCCATCTGCCAGCGGCCCGGGGACTGATGACAGGCCCGTGGGTGGCCAGGCTTCTGCTCCTCACTCCAGCTCTCAGATTTACTCTTAATTCTTCCTGACCTACTCCCAGGTTCCTCTAGCACCAGCATCCTTGGCAGTTCCTCAACTCTTGTATCCTGGCTGTTTTCAATGAAGCCCAAATTCTTGGGGATGGGATGAACATGGCCTTCTTGCAGCCCTTCTGTTTCACTGTCCTCATCGCTGCTGCCACTGCTGCTATCACCACTTTCTTCCTCTTCCTGAAGTTCCTTGTTAAAACTTTCTAACTGACTTATGAGATCCCAGGGACGACGGCTAACTGGTTTCAAGAGAAACTGACCAAATAGCTGTTTACTGTTGCAAGGGCCTGTGGGTTCCCCCTTCACCACCTCATCCTTGGGCACAGGGCTGGCTCTGGGTCCACGGCCATCCACGCAGGGTTGACTCTGGCCGGCTTTAGACACAGATGCCTGATTTATGGATGAGGGAGTCCTCGAGAAAGCGCTGTTGCTGGACAGGTTGAGGGACATTTGGCCTTTCAGGTGATGAATATTGGGCCTCTGTTTTGGGTCACTGGCAGCCAATGCCATGTGCATCATCTGAGCTTCGGAGGCAGCAGGGTCTAAAAATTTTGCAGTCAGCACTGTATTAGGAGAGCCTCCCAGCTTTGTACCAGGAAGGGGCTGTGAAGTTTTGGATCCTTCGGTGAAACTGGTTTGTGTTTCCTGGTCTCTGTACTGGTGCTCTGGCCAGGAGCCAGAATACTTGAGTTCTCTGTGTTTCGTCGGGTGAATGGAACTGAGGTCATTTGTTTGTTTGTCTTCTTCTTGTTCCCCCAGACCTTGTTTTTGGAACTCTGTTCCCCCACCCATGCTTCCTGTGAGGGCTTGCAGCTCCAGGTCGGTGGAAGACATGCTCAACAGACTGTGTTCCTGCAGAGCGCTGCTCTTATCAAGCCCATTCTTTTTATCAGCACTCTGCTTCAAGTCATTGTTGTTCGTATCTATCTCTGGCAGATGGGATTCTGATTTAACTGGGACGGAAACCAAACAAAATATTGTCTCGTTCGTTTTTTTCTTTGAACTTTTCTTGGTCTGAAGCCCAGTTTCAAACTTTTTGAGCTTGGTTCGAGTTTCGCAGGTACTCGCCTCCTGTGGGTGTGGGGAGGTGGCATGGCCCCCCACCTGTCCATGCTGGCTGCCTCTCACATCAGGCCACTGTCCTCTCGTGAGGCCAAAGGAATCTCTTTGGTCAGGAAAGCCACCATTTTCTCCCTCCCTGGGGAGCTGGCTCCATAGCCACTGGGAGCTGGGGTCTGAGAAAGTGGGGCCTCTCTTGTTGCCTGATGGGCCTACCCGACTCTGTGGGTTCAAAACAGCACCACAGGGGTGCAGGCTCCCGGGAGCTGGCTCTGAGGGAGTGACAGGACCAGAGTTGTACAGATTATCATCCAGCTTTGTTTCCTCACCGAAACCCTGGGGCTGAGCTAGTTTGATGTGTCGTATCCGTGGGTCATCGAAGGGAATATACAGAACAGAGCCGTCATACGTAGTTGGGGGTCGGGGCTGTGGAGGGACCCCACGAGGAGAGCGTGGGGCTGCACCATATTCATTCCCAGTTCTGAGGGAGACAGCCGGAAGCTGACCACTGACACTGGCCTTTGCCAGCGGGTGCTGCTGTTGCCCGAGCCCACCACACACCAGCCTGGGGGTGGCCTCCTCCAAGTAGGGGTTTGCGATGTGCTGGGGCGGTGACCTGTACGACGGTGGAGGCACGTACATGGGAGGCTCCAAACCATAGTCAGACACGAAGAGCTCCTGCCGGGGGTCGCTGGTTTTGGTCACGTAAGAAGCACACAGGTCTGTCTGCTGACCATCCAGAGAGTCACTGTTCTCCACCGGCCCCCTGGAGTGCTGGTGCGCGTCATAAGGAGGAGGCTTGAGGGGTCGCCCAAACTTAGGCCGAGGGAAAGGGCCGGAGGAGCCATCCTTCTCTGGGTTCCTTGTGGACTCCAAATGTGGTGCACAATTTGGAGGGTAAAACGGCATTTTAGGAACACCTGGTAAATGTCCATCATTTAATGGAATGGGAATTTCCACGCAGCTCATGCTCTCGGGGATAAGAACTCTAGGCAACGACTGGGATTTCCCTTTGCTTTGGGAACTTAGCACATGTTCTCCTTGCATGAACGGGTACAGATCTTGAAACAATTTCTCCCCATCGCCATCTGACATCTGCCTTCCTAATTTCCTTGGCTGGTTCCAGCTTTCGAGACTTACATCCCTCCACTTGGCAGGACCCGCCATTCTCAGCTCTTCTTCCCAAACGGCCTTCTTCATCACATTCTCTATCCTTCCTCCAACTTCCCATGGACCCTCCCGCATGTGCACAGGCAGACTGTGGGCTTGAGCCATTCTTCTGATCTCCAGGTCTTCAAGCTCCCGAGGACCCAGCACACCGTGGACATCTGGTCCTCTTTTTCTCCAGTAGACTTGGTCTTGACCGCTCTGGGGCTGAGAAGTCCACACTAACACAGGTTGATTATAAAACCTACAAAGTAAGGAGGGACAATGTTATACCATGGGAGGAAACACACAGAAGAACCACTGCTTCTCTACTTCTGTGACAGGTATTCCAAGTCAAAATTAGGCCAGGACTGGGGCCTCCCTGGTGGCGCAAGGGGTTAAGACGCAACCTATGAAGCAATCCGCAGCCCCTGCAGCATGAGTTCGATGCCCCGGCCGGCCAGGGAGCAACCCACATGGCTCAGCAGACCTCTCCTGTCTCGCCCACTGCTCCCCTCAGCAGTGTATTTCAGTCAATCTGCCTGTTCTGTTCCCCACTCTGTCTCTGGTGAATCCTCTCACCCTCCCGCACATTTGGCCTATACCCCAGTTCTTGTATGCATAAAAAATAAATCTTAAAAAAAAAATTAGGTCAGGACTTTTGAAAAATAGATTCCCAGACACAGTAACTGATGATTGTTTAAAGAAAACACTCCCCTACCCCCTTCATTGGGGTTGGAAGACAGCCTTGTGTTTTTCCATCATGGACCCAGGAGTGGCTGCAACAGGCTGCCCATAAGAACATCAGGACATTGGTGGTACTTGCAAAATGTCAAGGTCCCTTTAACTCTGAAGTGTCCAAGGGAATAAGGGTGAACCCGAAAGCAGTGTTTCTCAAGTATGGGTTTGGGCCACTGCAAATCCAGTCCCAGCTCAGTCTGGGCCACTGAGCCATCTCTGGGAGTGAATCTGGGAGCCTTCTTTTAACAACACTCTATAGCAGGGTTCTTAAACTTTATAAAATGTAAGAATCACTGAAAGGGTTGCTGGGTGTCAACCTAGTCTCTGCTTCAGTAGGTCAGGATGGGGCCATAATATGCATTGCTAACCTTTCCCCAGGTGATGCTGATCTGCTGTCCCAGCACCCCACTTTGAGAACCATTATTGCCAGGTATTGTCCAGCATGACTGCACATTAGAATCCAGAGAGAACATCACAACCCCTCATGCCTAGGTAGTATCCTAGTTCCGTCACACTCGAATCATGGAAGCAGGTGGGGGGCCTGGCATGAGTATTTGTCCAGGTTCCTTGGGTACTCCGAGTGTATAGCTGAGACAGAGTCCAGTTCTCAGAGTTCCCACACCTCCCTGATAGTAAGGATCACTCTGTATTCACATTCAATACACACATTACCAATTCCTTCCACCTGAAAGTTCATACTCAGACCAGATACAGGTTAGAGTTTGGGCATCTATGTTAAAAAGCACCCTAGAGGGCTTATCTTTTGGTGATGTGGGCAATGCTGGCAGGAAAAAATGAGAAGAAGGGGGGGCTCTGTTCATGGGGCAAGACTCTACCAAGTAGGAACGGTAGACAAAAAGCCAACTTAGTACCAGGGCACTATTCTACCTTGCTGCACATGAATATTTCCTTATAAGCCTTTAAAAGACACCAACACCCCCAAATATTTGGAACCCAATACCAGTATATTTCAAATTCTCTTCAAATGTTCTAGTATGTATCCAGAGTTTAGAATCACCAAAGCAGTTAAGAAATAATCTGAATACTATCACATGGAGATGTGAAACTACTGCTATAAATGACCAGACACTAGGACTGTAACACAGAAAAACATCAGCTGCAATTCAACTATTTTGATTAACCATGATGCAAGCAGAAAATGTCCAACTCTAAAACTTCTTTTTTAGTTTAAATACGTATTTATTTATATTTACATAACTTCTCGAATACCAGTTGTTATCTAAAAATTGCTATTTTTATAAATGTAATATATGTATTCATTGTTGAAAATCTGGAAAAATTTAGGAAAAACCAAAAATCACTTGTAATCTTTCTACCCAGAGATAGATATTTTGATAATGATTTTGTGTGTTTGATATATACTTTGAGTATGTGAGGATATGAATTTCAAGTAGGCTTAGTATTGCACTAGCATGGGATTTCAGGTGAGCATATCCCAATACTTGTAGTACAAATAACAGCTGGTATACCAGGGCAGTTATTGCATGATGTGCCAGGTTCTTATTAAGAGCTTGCTCTATATTAACTCATTTAATCTTCACCAGCATCCTTCTGCAGCAGGATGAACTACTGTAATTCCAATTTACAGAGGAGGAAACTGAGCCTCAAAAGTTAAGAGCTTACCCAACACTAACATTTGTTATGCAATACTATGGGGTGATGTGCAAATCATGCCAGGTGAATTATTTCATTTATACTTTACAACCACTGTTATTTCTCCCATTTACAGATAAGGAAACTGAGGCAGAGGGGGTTAAACAACTTTCCCAAGTCACAAAGCTTGTTAGTTGGGAAAAAGTTCAAACCCAGTAAGTGTGACCATACATCTCACTCACTTAGTCACAGGTTTTAACTTCTTCCAATATAATGAAAGATTCTTCAAGTGGATGGTTTTAATGGACATGACTTACTTCACCTCTTTGTACCTTTGTTGGACATCTACATAGATTACATTTGAAAACACCCTGAGAAACATTATTGTTCACAAATGCTATGCATGTCTCAGATTACTAAATAAATCCTTGGAAAGGGAATTAGTAGACTGTGATATTTTGTTATCTATTTTGTCAAATCCAACCTTAGGCTCATCAGCCATTCCAATTTACGCTACTACCAGCAGTGTGGAGAACAGCTGGGTCTGGCTGAACATCTCCCATTCCTGGTTATTAACAGTGTTTTTCCAAAAGAAGTAAGTGAAAATAATGTCTCATTGTTTTTAATTTGCATTTCTTTGATTATTGGTAAATTTTTTCCCTTAGGCTCAAGAATGTTATCAAAATGTATTTTATGAATTCAAATGATTTCCACAACACAGTCCACATGCCAGCTGAGAGCACAAAGCATGTAGATGGTAAGGAATGTCCCTAGGCCCCCTAAGTCTGTGCAAAAAACAGCATATAAAAAGTTGGGGTCAAAGTAAGTGCCAGAAATTAGGCTGAAAGAGGACCAATTCTAACATACAAGCAGAAGTCAGCTGTTGTTCAGGAGTCTGGGTGGTAAATAGTAGTAAAAGTATATTATTATTTTATGATGCATTTACTTCTTTGCCTTTAAAAAATGAGGGTAACTCTTCAAATGCTGGCTCTACTCCACCCCCTAAAGCCTGTTAAGTAGCCATTTAAAGCAAAGTTGAAAAATGGGTTCAAAAAGTAGAAAATATTTCAAAGCAATTTAAGGTAAAGTACTTGCCACAGAGCAGTGGAAATGCTCTGTGTTTACTACTCATACATTGTGCAAGTCATCTTGACACTGCATGGCTGGCAGTCACTCTCTTTGCTGCTTTTATTGTTATCAAATCACGTTTTAAGCTTTTCGGCTTTGAGTGTTCAGCAGAGCACCCCTTGGGTCAGGCTCTGTAAGGATTCGTTGCTGTGGAGGCCATCACCTCTGGCCCCTTGCACATCTCCTTCCCAACTCCCAACCCCTCCAGGAGAACCTGCAAAGAGGCTGGCAGCTCTAAAGTGGAGGTAGGCTCCCTTAGGGACTCTGGTGTGACAGCCCAGTGTGACAGCCCATATGTAGCCTGAAAAAACACAGTGGAAGATGAACATTTAAAAGCCCCTAGCAGTTACTGGCTATATAGGATCTCAGGGTCTAATCAAAGCCAAGGGCAATACTTGAAAGTTGCCACTTAATGACAAGTCACATTCGTCATAGACCCAATTAAGAAAGTAAAATAAATCATTAGGAAATATGAGGCTGGTGGCCTGCATCAGAGAGAACTGACTTTCTCGTCTCTGTTCCTTGGCAGATGGTGAGTAGGTTTTATTCCACAGGCTTTAATTAGCACCATCTTACTCCTTACAGTTCTATAAACATTTTCAGGGGTGCATGACTACGGGAAAAAAAACCACACGATATGGCTTTTGCTCATTTTCTCAATGGATCTTTTGGTTTCCATTAAATGTATGGTATGCTCAAATACCACAAGGTGGCTACATTTCCAAGGTGCTGTTTGTCTTGTAGATGCCATGAGCAGATTCAGAAGACAAATAAAAAATGGCATAAATAAGACAAGAATATAAATAGACTACAACTACCTTCAGAAATAATGTGGCCAGTTTTCTTTCCCCATTGAAAAATGTTTGTTATATTACCACCCTAACTTTGTAAAAGTAATACATACTAAGCTTTTTTTAAACTAATCAAAATGGCTAAGCACTCTGGATTAAACTTTTATCCTATGTACACAATATACCAGAATCCCAACTTAAGGAAAGATGGGAAATTTTAAATCATCTATTTAAAATACATTCATGTGACATAGAAAACTATAAAACATTTATTTACAAACTTCTTTTTTAATTCTAAACATGAGCCTGTCTCACAAGCAGGACCCACATGGTGATAGTTCTAGTAAATTTCTTCTTCAGACAAGTTCACAGTGTGGATAATCGACTAGCTTCAGATATAAGAGCTATCATCAGCTGAAATGTGTACTATCTGCTGTGTTTCAAAGCAAAGAATATGCTTTCCAATACCTTTGAGGACTCAATTTCTTCTTTAAAAAAAAAAGAGATTTATAATTTACATTTAAAAAAAACCTGATCAATAGGATGTTTTACAAAAACAAGCTGACATACTAGCAAAGGGTGGGGAAATGTAAGGAAAGCAAAGTGCAATGCAATAGCCCAAATCCATTGTGTTGACAAGTTTAATAAAACAGCAGGGTCTTTATACAGATTCCTGAAGAACAGGACAGAGACGAGACAGAAGTTATACCTGCTCACAGCTCATGCTTATCACAAAGAAGAGACATGATCCAACAAACAACTGATAAAAACCACTGGAGAAATATTTGAAACATGAACATGTGAATAACAACATGTCTAAAAGAAAATTAGCAAACCTGCTTGCAGTATAAAAGCCAATGATGAAAAAATTAAGAGCTATTTTTGTTAATTCACATGACTCATTCCCAACCACAATAGAAAATACTGCCCCTCTTTTAAAAAGTAAAAGCCTATTTAGAGTGACAATATTTGCAATGACTTTTAACCACAA